AGAAATATTCATAGTCTACAGTAACTGGAGATACACCGTTGGTATACCAAACTGTACAGTCTCAGCTCCTGGAGTTACAGACCTTGGGATGGAAGAAAGCATAGAGATGTGACAAGGTGATAACTACTAAAATAAATTAGGAGGAACGAAGTTTTGGGAAAGAAAATCCTAAAGAATTATGAGATTATTATGTCTTATATTTAACATATCTAATTAGATACTTTTAAAGCACATAAGTAATCAGAGGACAAGGAAGGAGAGAGCAAGACCTCAGGTGTCAGAGGGAATTTACTGAATGAATGGAATTTAAGGAGACATTGCTAGAATGCTGAAGGGCTAGACTTGCATTTTCAAGGATAAGAGATAGATGTTATAAAAAGGGAAGAAATTTTTTCAGTCACTTAAGAAAAATAAAGATTAAGTGAATTCCAACATCTGGGAACACAGAAGTAATAGTGAGTAGCAAAGAAGATGGTGAAATATATTGTAAAAAAACTCTTCTGAAATTTGAGAATGCAGAACATAGCACAGAATGGAGAAAGCACAGCAGAGTACAAAAACTCTGTATTATATATGCAGAACTGATTCTAAGTACACAAGAAAATCAGTTGCAAAAATAAAGTGTCTTAAGAGAAAAGCTGCATTTTGTTTTGTTTTGTTGTTTTATTTTGGATGCTAATTAATCTTTTGTTGTGTAGTACAAATTTAATTTAGAATTAACAGATGTTCCTTTGCAGGTGACAGGTTATTTACCTTCATGAGTGATGTATCTGAGGTTCATATCATACTCATTTAAATTCTAAAGTTTAATTCATAAAGTCTTAATCATAGAATTTTATAAGAAGTTCTGTAAATGACTTTTTAAATACTTTCAATTAAAAATATAATTTCAACACATTTTTTCTGCTCACATAGATATTGCTTTAAAATGCAACCGGTTCTAATTTGAGACACAAATTCTTCTGTGTATTACATGAGACTCAAAACTCAAGTTGAATTCTACTCTTCTCAATCAAGAAAGCTTTGGATGGTAGACTGGTCTCTTATGTAAGATGTGCAATCTTTGTTTTTCTATGCTTTGCAAAGAGATAGAAGTTAAAGTGTTAAATAGAAAGTTCTTTTATTATTATTAATTTTTATTTATTTATTTTCAGAAGACACAGAGAGCAGCCATCTACCATCTTTTGAGAGCATCTATTTATTTGTTTTAATGCTTTAGAACACTGCAACTGTCCAAAGAATGCAAAAGGTCAATTCCATATTGATTATGTTGCATGATGGGGACAATCTGAATGTAATGCTTTTTGATATGCTATGCTGAAAGAATGGGTTCTGTGAAGATAAATGCCCACTGTATTCATTTCATGATGCTTTTCTGCTTGCTACTTCAAGCAGTTTCTGACTGCAGAAGTGACATAGATCTCTATCCATTACTAACTTGAAAATCTAATCTAAAGCTCTGTGAACCTGGAGGCAGCACTCACTAAATTGGTATTAAAACCCATATGAGGAATTACATAATCCTTTAAGGAACATTTCATTTGCCAGTGACCTTTTCAGCATGGGGAACAAGTTGTTTGTTTGGCAATGATTTTTGCTAGAATAAACTTCAATATTTGTGTGTACCCTTTATCCTACAAGAACTCTGAACTTTTTACACAGTTCTGTCATATTACACTGTGCCACACAACAACTTATACGTAAAATATATTGAATATATTGTTAGCCAGATATGAAAAGTTGTTCATAAGTGTAGCTAAAGACACACTAACAGCAGTGTGCAGTGACAGTAAAATGGAACACTGGCTTCTGCAAGTGTGTTTTCAATACTTTACATGTGATTCAGAAGATTTTTTCTGCTTCCTCATGACAAGTAAGCAGTCAGAGGAAATTAAGCCTGAACAAGGCTGAGCAGAGACACTGTGCTAAATTACATCTTGATCTCGTCCTCCACTGATAGTGGAGGATCATTGTCACCATCATTGTCACCAAAAGAGTGAAAAGCTTATGAAATTAATTGCTGGTCCTTTTAACTTGAGATAGTACCACAGCCAAGAATACTATATTCCTTTTGAAATTGCCTGGAGGTCCTGGATTTGGGACCTTGCCAGAGGTGTTAGAACGAATAGAAACCCCAGCTACACTCAGAGTTCAGATCAAGACCTTTCTTTTCACACAAACCTTTCAGCAATAACAGAAGATAAAGCAGAAATGGGACAGAATGGATTCCAGCTATAGTTGAACACCTTTTTTTTCTGCCTTGGGATCTTTGCAAGTGAAATTACCAACATGTTGCAATGCTTTTACAAAATGAGAAAGATCCAACAACTCAAAGTTTTTCAGAGGCTGTTATGGAAGTCAGCAGCTGTTATATTGCAGTTATACTAAAAAGTTAGTCTCTCCAAATATACAAGAAGAATTGTTGTGCATGTTTTTAGTAGCCAGAAAGAGAACTAGTCTGGTCATTCTCTCAGACATGCTGTGAGATCCTTTGGACATAAAAACTGTTATTAACCCCTGTGAACATATCTATAAGATTACATTCTAAGTCTGAAAGTCCAATTTATCTTGTTAAAACCTTCTTTTGGTAATTTTATCAAGATGTTGTCCTCAGCAGATAATTATGGAATTAAATGATTTTTGTGGCTGTTATTGTTCTAAAATAATATTTATTTTTCTTGGCCTTCAAGTCAATACACAGATAAAATGGTTTCAAGCTTAAAAAGGCTTGAAAGCTTAAAAAGGCAATAATTAATTGTCTAATTAATTATTTCAGTGTTCCTTCTTGGAAAGCCATAAAATAAAATATCTCAATATAGTAAGATAATATGTACTGTAAAGGAGGACAAGAGGTGAAGCAGGGGGAAGCACTTCTGAAATATTTCTAGAGAGATTCCCAGGCTACTTTGCTCCATCAGCCTTTCATTTAGATGAGAATCAGTTAAATAAATAATGCCTAGTCCACAGGTGGTGTGAACAGCTTTAAATCCATTGATTTTACTAAGGCTATTACATACATGTTGCAAACAAATCTGTATTGCTCAAGTATTCATCAAATCTCTCATCATAGGCTTTATCTAAATTCTAAGAAAAATAATGTGCTTCCAGTGTTTATATAAGAACCAATAAACTATGAAAATGAGTTTAAAAATAGCTATTGTTCTTATGCTATAAAACCACATTTTAATGTTATTAGAACTTCATTTGAATTTTCTGCATTCATTTAGTAATATTCAATTTGATTTTAAGATTCTCTTTCAAACTCCCTTCCCCGCCATTTTACAATGTGTTTTGTTCTCGTCTGAAAATTACATTGGGATTCACTTCAGAAAATACATTTTTCCTTATCAAGGGATAGATCTGCCTTAATATCTCATTATGGAACAGCACATATTTAATTCCAGTGGTTTCAAATCATCCCCAGTGTTTAACTGGTTTCTGCAGAAATTCCTAAATATGCATGAATAAAATATGTCAGGCAGATGAAATAATGTCTTGACACATGGCAGTTATTATAAGTGGGTGTTGTGATGTCTTTTGCTCATATCCCATGCATGTAAGATATTTTTTGTGGCAAAACCTCAGTAAAAACCACAATGCATGGCAGTAATTCAATATTATTCAGGAGCAGAAGGAAGATTATATACCTTTTTATCTTTATTTTAGGTGAGCGAGCCAAACTGAAGCCCCTTCAGATATTTTCCTTAATGTCTTATTCCTTGATGGATATATCTGACACAATTTATTTTGCCAAGAGGAAATAAGTGATCTGCCTTTGTGGAGACTACAAAAAAAGTCAAGCAACTTGGTACATTTCAATGACAGGACAGGACAGAAAGGCAGAAGGAAGAAATTCTTTAGTATGAGGATGGTAATGCACTGGGAAAGGTTGTCCAGAGATGTTGTGGATGCCCTAGCCCTGGAGGTGTTTAAGGCCAGGTTGGATGAGCAAGGTGTGGGAAGGTGTACCTGCAGGGTGGTTGGAACTAGATGATCTTTAAGCCCCTTCCAACCATTCTGTGATTCTGTGACCCCATGAATGCCCTGGGCTGAGTGTGTCTGGCTGGCTTTTCCTCTTCTCTACTCCTCTCTTCCTTTCACAAACAGAAAAGCTCCTTCAACTCTGCGAAGACATTTTGAATCCTGACAAAGACCACTTTCTGGGGCAAAAAATCTCTCCCTGTCTTTTCACTGTCTGGTTGCAAGAGAGAGCCTTCTCCACAGTATCTACACAAACACAGCAAGGAGGACCACGGTGACACAGAATTCCTGGAGGCTGAGCAACACTAGGAGAAGATGTGGTGGAACAGGAGGCCATGGCATTATTGAAGCTCTTAACCTTTTGAAAGCAAGCCAATAAAATATTAGTAAATTCTATTATTACTATTAGATAATTCAGTGTAACAAAGACATCTTGTTCTTGTTCAATACCAAAATTTATATCTGAGAAATGACTCTGCAAACAGGAAATTGAAGGTTCAGAATAATGGGGATAAAAGAACTTGGTCAATTTTTACTTTTTTTTTTTTTTTTATTTATTAATTAAACAACTAATGTGGTGAACGCAGGAAATAAAAAAGAAACAAACAAGCTAGAAACAACATTTTAGCAATGCAGTAACTGAATTGAGAAATACATGAAGTAGCAAAGCTCATTTTCATAATAGAAGAACAAAGAGCATGCAAAAATAAAAGTAAGTGAATCCCTTCTCATGGAAAATAATGCAGTTTTGGCTATAAGTGATCTATAAAGTTCAGTGCAGCAACAAAATGTCTGCTGTAACAATAAACTGAATAAAAGAGATCATTAAAGACGAGTCACTTAGAAAATTAGTTGTCACCGTTTCTAAAGTGTTTTATATCCTGCTTGGAATTGATTTTATGCAATGTCACATATTGTTGAATGCTCCTTCAAGAGACAATAAAACATTTACGCCCATGTGTATGAAATTTCATTTTATTTCATTTTTTTCTATTGCCCTCTTACCTCCCTTCTCTTACCTGCTTTATATTTTCTTATGTTGGAAGATTTATTTTCTTCACTGATCTCTTTTGGCTTCCTATTTCTTTCAGTAGTCCTTTCTTCCTGTTAAATAAAACAATAAGATTTACCAGGAAATGGAGTTGAGGTAGACTTGGGGTTATAATTCCATATATGTCTAACTGAAACTACAGGATGCAAGACAAAATATTTTATGTCGACCTCTGATGCTTTTCTTAGTTGATCTCACTCAGTTCTGACTTCAGGACTTGATCTTGAAGTGAGGTAGCTCAACACATCTGGAAATTATGTTGGTCTAATAACTTCTCTCTCTAATGTCACAAGATAGTACCCAAAGATAGAAAAAGAAACTGTTTACAACACTCATTCCTCTCAGATTTGAATGTTATTCTTCCTACAGGCATCATATTCTTCTCCCCCCCCTCCCCCCCCATTTATAGTTCAGTGGTTTACCATCTCTTTTTCCCTTTTTTTTTTTAAAGCAGTCATTCAATTAGCCACTTCAGTATATATTTTCTTCTGACACAGTTTCTAATGCAAGTCTGCAGATCTCCAGATACAGATTTGTTCTTAATATTTACATCAGCGGGGAGTAAACTGTAGATTTGGCTAAAGATGCATGAATAGAAAGGGTATAGGAGTATCTCACCAGGCTAAACAAAACTGATATTCTGTGAATTATATTAAGCTTATTTCAAGTTTAATTATCATCTGCAATTCTCAAATAACATGTAATCAAAACTGTACTAGAACTATCTCCAAGAGGCTGTGTTGATCCTGTTTGTTGACAGTTAATGCAAATATAAATTCTTCACTAATTTTTTTCCCCAGACATTTCCATTAAACTGAATGTGGTAAATCAAATTCTGCTTAAAGAGCAGTATTCCTGACTGCCAGCCCTGCAAGCTTGATCTGGGACTGAAAAGGCAAGTAGGTTCTTACCAAGACAGTCACGAACACCCTCAGTAGAAAAGATTATGTGATTCAAACTCACTTATTCATGTTGTTGCTTACGTGGGAGTCCTAATAGAGTGCAGCTCACTCCCCTGGGGGCGTGCTGGCTCAGCAGGACTAAGCAGTAAATAATGCTAAAAGCTTATTTTAGTCTGCAAAATAGGTACGTAAGACTAAAATCACACAGGAAGGAAAATCACTGAGTAAGAAAGGAAATGGTTGCACTTTTTCTACTACACTCACACTTTCAACTTAAGGTGATACAATGATTGCCAATTAGCCATTTCCTCTTTACACTTTAGGAAAAACAAAACAAAGCAAAATAAATCTCAAGAACTCTGACATTGCATGTGTAAGTCCCATGCAATTCTGCCAAACCTCCTAACCCATAGTTTCACTAATTCTCATGGTTATTTAAGGGAATCTTCTGCCCGTAGGATGCTCTAAAAGTCTCAACATTTCCCAAGAGAGAAGTGATGAGTGTGTAAGGCAGGTAGGAACGGTAAAGGGAATTGTATCATCTCCCATGGCCTCAGTGGCCATCAGCATTCAAATTCTATGTCACCTTTCCACAGTCCATTTTCTTCATAAATAAATGTCCCAGGGAATCCCATGTCTTGCAAAAATCCCAGCAGTACAGTGTGACATCAGTTCTGTTCCCAGCAGGACAGTGATAGCAGCAGAAAAAAAAAAAAAAAAAAAAAAAAAAAAAAAAGGAGGGGTTGGGGGGTGCGAAATCTCATTGAACAAGTTCCTGAGAAACTATAGGTCTCATTGTGTGCAAGGACTAACCATAAAAGTTGTTCCGCCATTGAGATTTTTTTTTCACTGACCTTTCGAGGCCTGAGCCCTTTCAGTCTCCTCCTGTTAGTTTCCTCAAGAGAACGAGGAACCGGGTCTGTCTTTATTCCTTTGGGTCATTAGCCACAAAACATTTAAGGTATGTTGCTGTATCTATTGGAAGCTTCTCTTTGCCTCTTAAGGAACTTGTTGCAGTAAGTTATTCCAGGTGTCAGTCATTTTTCTGTTTAAATATACAGTCATGATGGCCATCCAAAGCAAGTTATCATACAGAAATCTTATCATCCTTTAGGCTTTTAGGAATTAAAGACACATAAGCAATATTCTGTCATAAATGTTTGTCTTACTGGTTGCTTCTCTGAGGTGCCCTCACTTCAGAGAATCATTTGACCTCACTGTGTACACATACGCTCTGTGCATCCTTGACACCTGTAATCAAATGTGGGCTCTGGCTCCCAGCACCAACCTGTTCATGACACCTCTTCAACACTGCTTGAAGAAGGTAAAATTTCTGCAGAAGCCAGAAAATTTGTGTTTCTGTGTTTGAAAAACAGAAATGTACTTCCCTTTAAGCACAAAATATTTCTGCTAGGGCTGCCATTTGCCTTGTTCTGGACTAAAGCCAAAATTTGAGGTAACACGTTGTGTGGTCAATAGAGGGTTTTTAGCTTGAATAACAGCTTGAACTTAGAAGTAAGGTATTCGTATGGATGCATCCTGAAGTGGTGGACTCAGGCACTTATATGGAGAGATTTATAAGTCTAATAAACAGTGAAGTAAATTCCTTTTACTGCATCATGAGCTACTTAGAAAAAATATGTTTGAGAGACATGATTCATATAACTTTATGGCTTAAATTCTGACACAATTAAATTTATAACGAAACTCTGTAAAAAGTTTAGAGGGAAAAATTCCAAATCCTGATAAGCCAATTTCATAAAATGAGTTTTGAAACAAAAGTTGTCAAAGCCATCAATACTTTCATTATCTCTTGTTCAGGATTAAATGCTTGGCTGAAGAAAAATCCTGAGCACAATGCAATTTGTTTCCTGATCTCAACCAAAACTTAAATGCAGTTAGTTCAGCAGCATATCACTAAGATCTCATCAAAGGCCTGGTAACACACTAAAGTCTTACATTTACTTCTGTTATTAAGAAAATTTTGTCCAAAATGTTAGCTGATTTGTTTTTCAGTGTTATCTATTTCTCAAACTGCTGACTACCAGTTTCTGCCAGATGTTCTTGGGGTCAAAGCAGAAACATGAGCTGCAAGTGCAGCAGGTGGTTGGGGCAAGCACAGTATAGGTTTTATTGTATAGTCTTCTTCAAAAACAGTCTGACACTACATAGTGTCATTTGATGGACTAAGAACTGTACAGTTCATGAAGGACCAAGTATTTACTTTATGAACTTGAAACTCATCACCAACACATGCCATAAATAAAGCTGTTGTAAGGATTTGTGAAATTTACAGTTCTTTGTGCTATATGAGATTTCCATGGTCCATGCTAACAAAATCCCAAAATCTTATCCCCCATGACAAGTAAAGTGAGACCACAGTCACAATTCATGAACAACTCATGGGTTGAGATAAGAATAATTTAAAGGGAAAATAATAATAATAATATATATAATATATAATATATATTATAACATATATATAAATATATAATATAATATATAATAATAATTATTATATATAATTAATAATTATTATTATTATGGAAAGATTATTATTAACTAAACAATTTAACTAAAGGGGAAAAAAAGGGAAAGGGGAAAAGGGAGGGGAAAAAAATAAATCAGAAACAAAACAAACAAAACAAATAAAGGCTATGTGGAAGTGCAGATGAAATAAATTATTCTCTACTTCCCACAAATGAGCGATGCTTGACCACGTCCTTGAAGCAAGGCCTCAATGCACGTAGCCAGTGTTCAGGAGGTGGTCCGATGTTTTCACAATGAGAGCCCACCCCTCCCCTCTTCTTCCTGTTCCCACCTTTTATTGCTGAGTGTGACATCATATGATATGGAATATCCCTTTGATTGGTTTAGGTCAGCTGCCCTGGTGATATTTCTTTTCTCACTTTTTTTTGCCCACCCTTTAAGAGGCTTAGGGAGAGTCCTGATGTTGTGCCAGCACTGCTCAGCAGCAGACACACCACTGGTGTGATAACACTGCTGTTCTAGATACAAGTGCAGAGTACAGCACTGTATGGGCTGCTGCAGGGAAAGTTAACATCCCAGTCAGACCCAGCACACAAGATAAGGGGTTTGGGGGTGAAAAGGTTTCTGGTGAGAAGCATGTCAGTAAGATTTTTAGGTACATTTTAGGTATATGACTGGAAATTATGAAGAGAGGAAATAAAATGTACATAGACTGTACACAGCAGAGGGACTGATATTCTGAACTCAAGCACATGGGAGAGAAGAAAAAAAGTGCAGTATATTGTCCAGTACATAGACAGATGTACAGGAAGAAAAAGAAGCAGATGTCATTACTGCCATGTGGGATTTGGGGAACCTATGAGAGGAGAAGTGACATGGAGCTTGATCATGAGAGGTCTTGCAGACTTCTGCAAAAGGGAGAGGGATGTGGAGGGATTGCAAGAGATCAGCTTTACAGTAAATTCAACCAGAAGAAATGTCATGACCTAATCTAAACTGAAACTGTGGGGAAGTACACAGTTTTGGGGGGTAAGATACTGTAAAATAGAAATTGGTTTGGCTGTCTAGTCTACTCTCAGGTCTGGAAAGAGATAAAATCATAGCTGGGGAAGTCAATGTCTGAGATACTCTAGCTACTCTGAAATCTTTGTGAGCAGCTTTGAGAGAGCCGTTTTCCTGTTAAAGATGTACTTACTGAGAGTTGTGAGCAATCTCAAATGGTGAACACAAGATTCCTGAGTGATGCTTGCTTTTTAGATTCCTATTGCGATTAATACAACTGACATCAGAAATGTGTGAGGTTGCAAAATAACAAATCCCAGTAAAATAAAAGCCTAAGAAAGCCAGAAGACTTTACAATTACATTAATATTACTCTATTGTTCATAAGGTGCTTTTTACAAGATCAACAACACATAAAGAAAAAATTCTAAAGACCACAAGGAAAGTGTATTATGTTGTGAAAAAGTATCCTTTAAAAATAAATAAAATAAAATAAAATAAAATAAAATAATAAAATAAAATAAAATAAAATAAAATAAAATAAAATAATAAAATAAAATAAAATAAAATAAAATAAAATAAAATAAAATAAAATAAAATAAAATAAAATAATAAAATAAAATAAAAAAGTGTCTAGAAAGAATGATGGAATAATGGCTTGGGTTGGAAGAGACCTTAAAGATCATCTAGTTCCAACCCCCTGTCATGGGCAGAACATTTTTATTCTGAAAGTTTTTGTTTTCATGGCAAGAGAATTATACTGAGAACGATAAAGGAAACAAGTCAATGACTCTTATTTTATCAGAAATACATGTTTCTATTCATGTAAGACCATTAGTGTTTCAAGGGGAGAACTTTGGCACACTCTTCTCTCATGTTGCTGTGAATTTCTGACTATTACAGTAGTCTTGATTCACAAACTATTTGTTTACTGACTGAATGTAAACAATTTGAGATCTTTAGG